TTCGTCTCCCTTTCCATCTCAGATTGCTGTTTTTACATTTTAGAGTGTTCAGTTCTTGTGGTTTTTTGTGTCTGTTTTAGAGAGTATGTCTTTTAGCATTCTTTTGAGTTAGTCTACTGACTTTTAGACATTTTCTTCTGACTTAGCTAATCATTTTCAGAATTTTTATCTTTTGGCTTTTTGAGCCTTTTGGATAATGTTACTTTGCCTTATCTAGTAGTATTTTTTCAAAAGTTACGATATTTTTTCTTTTAGATAGTTGTTTTTCATTTTCTAAGGGTAGCAATCTAACCAGAAAATTTGTAGTTAATGCAATGTAGACGTTACTTTGAACTTATTCTGTAAATTTTTAATTTTGAGACGAAGTCTCGCTCTGTCACTCAGACCGGAGTGCAGTGGTGGAATCCTGGCTCACTACAACCTCCACCTTCCGGGTTCAAGCGATTCTCCTGCCTCAACCTCCTGAGTAGCTGGGATTACAGATGTGTGCCACCCCACGCCCAGCTAATTTTTTTGTATTTTTTAGTGGAAAAGGGGTTTCCTCATATTGGTCAGACTGGTCTCGAACTCCTGACCTTGAGATCAGCCCACCTCAGCCTCCCAAAGTGCTAGGATTACAGATGTGAGCCACTGGCCTCTGGAAATATTTAATGTTCCCTGAGTAGCTTAGATGTTAATATCTAGCATGTTTCATCTAATATTCTCTTATGTCTCTGTCCCCACTTACCAAATATCCTATTATTCTTACTTCCAGACCCCTACTTCCTTTTGGTATGTATGTGTTTTCTGGTATTTGAAGCCTCTTACCTGAGAGAGCGCAAGATGTAATACTGTGGAATAGATAAGACAACAGCACTGTGAAAATCTCAATAGGAAGGGCAGTGGAAAGAGCTGGCTATTTTCTGAACTGAAATCAGCCTAGTGTTTCTGAGACAAGAGGAGTTGAGGGAGGGGGAAAAAAGGTCTACCTATTTCCAGGTGCATATAACAAACCTTTGTCACCAAATATATATATTTTTTCCTGAGACAGAAAAAAAGCTAGTCACCCAGCGTGGATTGCAGTGGTGTGATCATGGCTCACTGCAGCCTCAATCTCCCAGGCTCAAGTGATTCTCCCACCTCAGCCTCTCAAGTAGGTGGGACACAGGCATGTGCCACCATGCCTGGATTTTTTCTTTTTTTTTTGGTAGAGACAGGGTCTCCCAATGTTGCCTAGGCTGGTCTTTAATTCTTGGACTCAAGTGATCTGCCCCCCTTGATCTCCCAAAGTGCTGGGATTACAGGTGTGAGCCACTGCACCTGGCCACCAAATGGATTTTTCAATCCAGTTCTGGCTAAATGAAAATTCTTCCTATAATTTTGATAATTATTTCACTGCCAGTCTTAGTTTTCAATGCGGGATGTTTGTGCAGGCCAGTAGGTATCATTTTAAATGAAAAGCTCCTAATATTTTGAATACATTTTGATTGAGGGTTTACAGAGGTAAATGCAACAAGAAGCTGTTAACATGCAATCTGTAGAAAAGGTAACTAGTTTAGAGAAAAAAATGAAAAATGCCTAAGTACTAAGTTCAGTGCTATTTTTAATCAGGGCTGTATGCCACCTAACAAAGTGCCTTTTGAAATCAAGTTTATTGCATGCTGATGCCTGGAGAATTCAATATGACTCTGGCAAGCAAAACAGAGCAATTGGCTTCCAAATTACTGCTGAATATTGTAATATTAGCATGTTAAATTATTACCAATTAAATGGTCAGGCAACATAGTACAAACACGATTTGGCAGGCTCTTGTTACCCCACTTTCAAAGTATTGGATCTCCTCCCAAGTTTTGGATGGGAAATGTCCAGCAAACTTTGTGCCAGTGTTAAGAGAAGAGCTGGTAGCATCCAGTTCAGTTCATGGTAAAATCTAATCTCCATTAGAAATCTGCCACATTGAATTGTCCCTTGCAATGTTTCAATCAGCAAGTAAGTACAGTCCACATATCTGCAGTTGTCTCTGTCACACCTTTCTTTCTTCTGTTATAAAAGTCCACGTATGTGTGTGTGCACATATATACACACTCCTAAGCAGTCAACAACTTTTAATCAATCCTATCTACAAGTCAATTCTAATACCTGTAAATCTAATTTGGCAAGCAAAACTGGAGCAATAAATCACAAACCCAATACTATTATGTATTTCTAGAGGAGGTCAATGTGAAAGACCATGCTGAATGCTCTATATTTCTTATGGTTAAAGTGGGAGGAAGAGAAGGACAAAGGGAGAGAAGGAAAGAGAAGGAAGAGAAAGAAGGAGAAGAGGAATGTTGACAGAGGGAAGAGGAGAAAGAAGTGAAGGAAGGGAATAAAAGAGGCTAGTTAATATATTTTATTTCTATAAGAAGATATCCAATGTTTTTCAGTTAAACCAAGTGCTGGGTCTTAACAGAGGCCAGCTCCTTCAGCCACCATTGGAACACCAGATGGGAGGTAGACCCTCAGCACAAAACAATACAGCAGCAAGGGTATCAGACAGCCACAGACCACTCCACAGTGGGGCCCATATGGAGTTACTCAGATTGTCACTACCACCTATCATTTTAGTACAAGATCTACTAGAATCTTTTGATACATCTTACTATTTATTGTAATTTAGTGCCTTACTTGTGTTTGGTGGAAAATTGCATAGGCATACAATAAAATCTCAGCAATCTACATTTACCTGAAATACCTTGCATTAATTACTATATTTATTATTGTCTAGTAAATGTGCATGAACACTGTAAAACAAATGTAAATGTTACATCATGCTTTAAAGGAGTCACCAAGGCCAGACTTGGAGGTCCAAGCCCCAGCTAGAATAATTTTGTGCAGGTGTGGTTCTTTCTATTTTGCAGGGCTATCAGGTGCCTCCTGCTCATGACAAAAATGAGACGGTAAGTTTGCCATGGACAAAATATTAGACTGGTAAGAACTGACTTTCCATCTGGGACACAAAAGGATTCTCTAATTTTCCTTTAGAGTTGGTCATAAACTTTCATTCCAGAGGTGCCCACCCTATACCTGGAGGAAAGGAGCATTCTTATCTCTGAAGACACAGTGACACAGAAAGCATCTGAACAAGCAGGCCTTGTCAGGTTTCCCCCAGTTTATCACCATTAGATCACGCCTTTGGTCTTCCACTCATGCTTCTGCATGACTGTCCATAAAAATGCACAGTTGTCCCTCTTTCTTTGGATCTTCATTTTTGGAGGCACCCATGTTACATAAAACATATTAACTACACTTGTATGTTTTTCTCTGAAAAAAGTTGGCTTTCAGTGTATATAACATCGACTCTCTCTATGTTTTATAATCAAAAGTGGGTGGCTTCTTGCCTCCAGCTGAATATTTTCATCTGACTCAATGGTTGAAAGATATGACCAGGTAGACCTGAGACTTTATGACTAGGTAGACTTGAAACTACTAGTTTGATTATTTTCCTATTATAAGTGGCTGATGGAAATGCTTCTAGAGTTATTCCAAGGAGCAGACCTGGAAGGCATCCAAAGTAATGATGCACAAGCGTTGGTGACTAAGAAGGAAAAATGACATGAAGGACCCAAACTCTGTCCAGAAGGAATATCAGAACTCAATATACCTTATTCTTCAAGCCTAGGCACTTATGAAATTCTGTAGAATAATCTTTGAACTGCTGTGCACTAGAAAAAAAGCTGGTCTGAAAAATTGCTTGGGACATGATCTGAGATAATTTTTTTTAACTGACAAAATGAGGTTGATTCCTTCCCTATCGCTGTGCAACTGATAAAAAGGAAACCCACAGTGAATTTCACAGTTGAAAGATGTCTTTTATGCATCAAACCAAGCTTAACAAAAGTTTTATAAAATTACCAAATTCACTTATGTTTTCCACTTACTATTTTTGACACAGTCTCACTCTGTTGCCCAGCCTGGAGTGCAGTTGTGCAGCCCTAGCTCACTGCAGCCTCCATCTCCCAGGCTCAAGTGATCCTCCCACCTAGCCTCTGAATAGTAGGAACTACAGGAGTACACCACTATGCCTGGCTGATTTCTTTCTTTCTTTCTTTCTTTTTTTTTTTTTTTTTGATTTTTACTAGAGACAGGGTCTCACTATGTTGCCCAGAGCTCCTGAGCTCAAGTGATTCCCCTGCTTTGGCCTTCCAAAGTGCTAGGATTACAGGTGTAAGCCAACCTGCCCAGCCTCCACTTGATACTATTTTAAAGTAGTGGTACAAAAGGTAGCAAGTCTTATGTAAGAGTTCTTGTCTTGCTTTACTGTTGACAACGTTTCTTCATCTTTGAGACTCTCAATCCTACCTCCCACCTCAAGCTAAAAACAGAGTTTAGTTGAAACTCTTGCAGGGTAATTTGGTTTAGCTAGCAGAATTTAAAAAATTTGCATGTCATTTGACCCTGTAATTTCACTTCTGGAATTTACCATACAGAAATACTTGGACAAATGCTCCATGAAATAAGCACAAAGATTTTACTGCAACACAGCTTGCTGTAAACATTGTTTGTATTTTTTTGACAAAAAAATACCCTAAATGTCCATCAAGAGGAAATTAGTTAATTATGAAATAAATGAACTATCAGTTATTAATCTGTTTAAAAATGAGTTAAATCTCTATGTACTGACATATTATAATAAAATAAAGCAAATAAGCAACGTACAGAAGAGTATCAGGTAAGCTCATTTCTGTGAGAGAAATGTACAGATCTACATGTGTACCTATGTATTTTATGCATTTATAAATGCACGCTCTCTCTTGCTCTCTCTTGAATTTGTAACAAGGAAGATGTGGAAGCATATTGAGGGGGATATCTTTGGGAGTTTGGAGGGGAGTAGAGGAAAGACAATGTTCACATTTTATACTTCTGTATTAACATTAGGCGTTTTTACAACCAGACTGTTATTTAACTTTTTGGTTTAATTATTTTTTCAATTAAATAAAACTAACAGGCATTGAAATCTCCTACTTTGATCCTTCCTACAGCAATTTTTGTTTCTTAAAGTGGCATGTGGAATGAAAGCTCACAGAGACAATGAGGCTCCCCAGGTGCAAGCATTTTTAAAGTCAGGACACACTGAGGACGGTTCACTAGTGTCGATAAACACTTTATACTTGCAAGTTGGAGCTCAAGCACCACGAATTCAGGGCAGCTGCATCAACCTCAGCTTGGCTGGTTTCACATGCAAGATCCCCAGTGTCTATAGCCCCTACACAAACCAGAAAACACGACAATGTGGGAGACAGAAGAACGAGACTTCAGTGAGAAGGGCACTGACTTATTTTCTTCTCTCTTCCTGACAAATGGCAAGTTGTCTGTTTCTTCTTTAATTTATCATTTTATTTGATGACTTAGACCTGCATTGTCCAATCAGTACATGTGGCTACTGAGCACTTGAAATGTGGCTGGTCTGAACTGAGATGTGCTGTAAGTGTAAAATAGACATTGGAGTTTGAACAGTTAGGTAAAAAAGAAGAATGTAAAAATATCTCATTCATCTATACATTTATATTCATTAAAGGTTGAAATGATAACATTTTAGATGTACTGTGTTAAATAAAACATATTATTAAAAGTAATTTGACTTGTTTTCTTTTTACTTCTTAAAGTGTGGCTACTAGAAAATTCAAAATGTATTTGTGGCTCACATTACATTTCTCCCAGACACAGCTGGTTTATACTTTTACAGATATTCCACATGCCAATGCAAATGTTCAAAAAAAGGAATAGCACGGTAGAGAAACAGGCATGTCGCAAACACACACACACACACACACACACACACACACACCTGCCACAACTGTTGTTTTTTTGCTACTCTCTCTCTTGTGCCTGCCGAATTTTCCAGTGTAGCTTGTTATAGTTCAGTGTAGCTGCTATAGTTTACATAGCTTTGAGCTCAAGCTCTACCAGTGACCAGATGTGGGGTCCTCGGACAAGTCACAGGGAGGATTAAATTGAATAATGTATACCAAGATTTCAAGGTTAGAAGAGTAATGACTTTGTGTAATAAGCTCTGTAGACACACACACACACACACTCACACACACTCTCTCTTTCCTCATACCCTCTTTCTCACACACACACACACACACTCCTCATACCCTCTTTCACACACACACACACACACACACACACACACTCTCTCTCCCTCTCTCTCTCTCTCTCTTGAATTCTTAATAAGGAAGAACTGGAGGTATATCGAGGGGGATATCTTTGGGAGTTTGGAGGGGAGTACAGGAAATACAATATTCACATTTTATACTTCTGTGTTAACATCAGCCATATTAGACATAGTAAGAATTCCAGAAATGACCAGGATATGGTTTTCTCTGGAAGCAAAGAATATCAGAGTTGGAGTGAATCTTGAGCATCATCCATGCCAGTGTTTTAGAACTCTTTTAAATCTCAGAAGCCCAATAGAGAGAAAAGATGAAAGGAAGATACTCTTGCTGAGTGTGGGAGCAAGAAGGGCTGAGAACTCCCTGGACCATACATAGGAGGGGGATGTAAGTTCTCTGAAGCACAGTTTGAATTCCATGGATGTGGTATTCCAGCCTCTCCATTTTACAGATAAAGATGCTAAGCTCCAGAGGTTGGTGGTTTACCTTCAGTCACAGAGCTGTAGGGGCAAGGCTGGAACCCATTCTTAGATGTCTGGTTCCTAAGAAAGAACACTGTGCTCTGCATTACATCACTGCTGCAGCTGTGGTGGACAACTTGTGCATGGAAAGACAGTGGTGCAGGAAAGTATTCTGACACAGGTGCAAACAGAATGCCATGCGGCTACTGGGATGGGAGACAGTGCTTCAGGCCTCTTCGCTAAAGAAGCAACTTCTAGGTTTACCTTTGAAAGATGACAGAGGCTGCTGGGTACCCAGGACAAGAGAAGGGCAAGGGTTCTAAGGAGGAAAACCTTGAGGCATGTTTTGAGGCCAAAAGGTAGGTCTCTTTGACTAATAGTGACATCTTGGAGAATAATATATGCTATGGCCAGAATAGAGTTGGAGCCTTCTTTAAAAAAGTCTCAGAGCCAAGGATCCTATGCCAGTCTTAGCGAGGTTTTGAAAAGAATGATAAGAATATTAATTCATCATAAACACATGAATGGGCAAGAAACAGGGAGACAGATTGGTAGGTTACTGGGTGACTGTTAAAGACAGCCTCAATTAGGGAGACGCAGGTCGTGATGGAAATGGGCCAGATCGGAGGGGCCCCGTGAGACAAAATCCACAGGACTTGGATACAGAAGGATGAAGATGATTCCACGGTGACTCTGAGGACCTAGCTGGGGGTCTGTGGGATAAGGGTTCCTTTAACAGAAACAGGGAAGGTAAGAGAAGCTGGTTCGATGGATTCAGTGAAGAAAGGGTATCTATGAGGTGGTTGGTGGAAGAGCCAGTCCATTAGGAAACTGCAGTGCAGCCCTAGGGCCCATCTGAGGGTCACCTGAATCTTACATAGATAGAACTCTTTGTAAGCACCTACATTTGGGAGAAGAGAGATGAAGAGCCAGGGAAAGGGATATGAGCAGAGGCACCCAAAAGTGAGCTTTTCACCAACAGTGAGGACAGGGTGGCTTTCATGGAGTGAGTGGCTACAAGATTGAAATGCTGCAGACATCAAGTGAGATAAGAATGGAGAGGAGGCCCCTAAATGCAATGATGATGAGATCACCATCAACCTCTAACACAGCAGCCTAAGTGTCTGGAGAACTCTGAAGTCAAATAACCCTGGTCAAAGCCTCTTCTTGGGCCTCAGTTTTCTTACCTGTAAAATGGGGATGGCAATACTATCCCTTATAGAGTTATTCTGAGATTTAAATGAAATTGCTCATTTCTTCATCCCTTCCAATTATAAAAATAATAGATAACATTTATTGTACACTTACTGTGAGCCAAGCTCTGTTCACCCTTGAACAAAACATAGGTTTGACCTGCACAGGTCTACTTACATACAGTTACTTTTCAGTAAAAGCTATCAAATATAGCTGACCCTTGAACAACACTGGGGTTAAGGGTGCTGGCCCCTATGCAGTCAAAAGTCCATGTATAACTTTTGACTCCCCTAAAACTTAACTATAAATAGCCTACTATTGACTGGAAACTGTACGAATACCAAACAGTTGATTAACACATATTTGGTATGTTATATGCATTATACCCTGTATTCTTACAATAAAGGAAGCCAGAGAAAAGAAAATGTTATTAAGAAAATCATAAGATTAGAAAACATATTTATTATTCACTAAGTGGAAGTGGCTCATCATAAGGGTCTTCATCTTCCTCATCTTCATACTGAGTAGGCTGAGGGTAAAGGGGAAGGGGGGTTGGTCTTGCTGTCTCATGGGTGGCAGAGGCAGAAGAAGAGGTGGAGGAGGTGGAAAGGGAGATAGGAGAGGCAGGCACACTTGGTGTAACTTTTACTGAAAAATGTCTGTATATAAGGGGATCTGTGCAGTTCAAACCTATGTTGTTCAAGGGTGAACTGTACAGAACCTGGCTTACAGTAAGTGCATAATAAATGTTATCTATTATTTTTATGATTGAAAGGGATGAAGAAATGAGCAAGTGATGAAGAAGTGGAGGCTACATGTGCAGACTCTATTCTTTCAAGAAGTTTGGGCATGAAGGGAAAGAGAAAGACCAGGGGAATATAAAGGGGAGTGAGAATCTTTTCCAGAATGGAGAGATGAGGGCACGATTTGACTCTTGAGGCAAGTCAGAAAGGGATGATGGATGAAGTGAGAACCCAGAAGCAGGGTAGGAACGAGAGCAAGGGTTGAGGGATTTGCCTTATAAGCAGGGAGTATGCATCCTCAGAAACTGGAGGGAAGGAAGGAGAAGGTGAAGATAAAGAGAGTTTTGAATTGAAAGAAAAAAGGAGCTCACTTTGAGGGCTTCACTCACCTTAATTAATTGGAGATGAGACTGTATGTTGGGTTGAGAGTGTAGGTTGGGGCTTAAGGACTGTGGGGATGGGAAGAGAAGGGAATCCTAGCATGGAATTGGGTCTGAGACCAAAGGAGGGGAGCTGGAGGAGAGGGAACATGCCCACCAAAAGCCTAGATGCAAGTGCTGAACAGGCGTGTGTGCTCTAGTTGCTCTTATTTCTGTCTCCAAGGAGAGCTTTCTCTTCAGTGGTGGAACGTTTGGATGATGAAGTCCCTAATGTACAGTGTAGTGAGAATGGAGAAGAGAACATCAATTCTCACAGGGGTCACTAAATGCTTGTGTATAGGCTGGGGGACAGGGAGAATGCAAGCTGAGTGACGCAGCTGCTGAGTCAATCAAGACCCTCAAACTGCTCTGTCTCCACGTATGTGCAAGACACTTCCATCAGTGACATTTACTCTAACTCTGTGGTGACTCTGCTTAAAAATCATGGGTCCTGAAAATCTCCAGGTCATGCAGTTAGGACTGGGGAGACGGGAGTGTAAGAGAATGGCAAAGAAGTTGAGAGGCTTTGGCAGAATTGTGCCCCTAAGGAGCAGACAGCTAAAAACACTGCAATTCCCTTCTTAAGGGGATACAGCACCTACAGAAAAAGGCCTGGTTTTAGTTACTTTGAAGAAGATTGTGAGTAAAAGTTCAGGAAAGAGAGAAACTTCTTCCTATGTGACAAGGAGTCCAAGAGGCAGATTTGAAAGGAGTAGCAGAGAGAGGGGAGGTATTGGCTGCTAAGAACAGGGACGGGAACATGGGAGGAAGCGATAAACCAGCAATTGTAAGAGGGAAGCAATGGCTTGGGAAGCGAGAGGGAAGAATGGTAGAATGGTATATGATAGGATGGTTAGAAGAAGACTAAGCAGAGAAAATCTGGTTTGTGGTAAAGACCACAGAGCAGGCAGACCCAGGATGTGAGACTGGAGGGGCCCTGGAGTGGGAAGGTGGAGGGCCAAGAGATGCCCCCACAGGGAAACACCAGGTCTGGGGGTGGCTTCTCAGTATATGCCGTGAAAACAAATAGAGTCTTCAAATTCATGTTAAAACACACATTAAGAATTAAAAAAAATCAATATTAATAACATTACAAAAGTATTAATTTGCTCTTACTTAGAACTACCTTGTATGCATTACTCAACCAAGACTGGACCTTTTCCTGGGTACCATCTTGGATATATTTTCACTCATGAAAATGCTTTTTAAAGAGATCTTCCCATTTGGCTGGTCCTTTAAAGGAAGAAAAAAAAGGGTCTAGGAAAATATCCAGTAAGAGGTAAGAAATCTGAAAGTCTAGAGTGCCCTGGTTTCCATGCACGTGTTTTGACCTAACTTGAAAGGATGAGTTTCTTCTCATAGGCTAGGGTGTGCCTTCTGGTGCCTCAGTGTTCAGGTCAGCTTGTGAAGGACCTCATTTCCTGGAGTTCACCAGGGAGGGTGCTCAAATATGGGGAGGCACCAACACAGTAACCAATGGGAAAATTGGCAAGGCACTCTGACATTTTAAAGATATTTGCTCACTGACCACTGACCCACAAAGGACAGTTTCACTGTCAGTTTCTCAGCTACTGGTGTTTAATTCATAGAAATCAGTGACGACAAGCCTAGAGAGGCCACCAGACAGGCAATATGACCGA